ACTGAAGGAACAAAACAGCAGCAGAAGCACAGAACCCAAGAATGGACTAATAGTTACCAAAGGGAAAGGGACTGGGGAGGATGGGTGGGAAGGGAGGGATAAGGGTGGGAAGAAAAGAAAGGGGGCATTACGATTAGCATGTATAGTGTTGGGGGGTCAAGGGGAGGGCTGTGCAACACAGAGAAGACAAGTAGTGATTTTACAGCATCTTACTATGTTGAAGGACAGTGACTGTGAACTTGGTGACAAGTAGTGATTTTACAGCATCTTTCTATGTTGATGGACAGTGACTGTGAACGGGGATGTTGGGGGGACTTCGTGAAGTGGGGAGCCTAGTAAACATAATGTCCTTCATGTAATTGTAGATTAATGATAAAAAAGTTTAAAAAAGAAAAAAAAATTAACTTTCCTTTAAAAAGGTTAGCTAGCCTGTGGAGTCAAAACAACACAAACACAATCCAGGCTAAGCCATCCCAGCTTAACAGTTTGGCAAGAAGTCAATTCATGTACAGCTTTAAACCTTTTCTGCACCTGGCCTGAAGAGAATTTCCCAACTTGGAATTTCTAGTTCACGTACCTCATCCGTTGACACTTCGGCTGTATTCACATTGCATGCTTACTGTCCTAATGTAATTAGCTCATATAGCATTTGTGCCCATTTGTTTGTGCCATTCTTTTTCCTTACTATGTTTTATGCTGCATTTATTAATAATAAGCAAGGACTTTAAAAAATGTTTAATGTAAGCCAAGATTTCTACTGCTTCCATATATTTGCAGCTGGGCAGGGTACAAGTGAAGTTACAATCAATCCAGAATCACTGTCTTATGATATATTCCTGTACCCAGTTCCTCTGACCTTTCTTTGTTCCAAGAAATTATTCCAACGACATGCAATGCTGCAGAATGGAGTCTGGTATCAGTTATAGTAGTTACCCCAACACACTAGCTACACCCAGTAATATAGTGTAACTGGATTCCAAAATCAAAAGGTAGTCAATCAAAAGGTAGCCAGTTTCTTGCCTGCCACAACTGAAAAGCGAGATGAAAAGTAATCATTTATCTTACTTGGTGAAAATGTAAATTCTTCAGATTAAAAAGAGAAAGTGTAGATGGCAGAGGATGATAATACAGGCAGCCACATAACTATAAACTATGATAGCTATAAAATATAAACAGAATGAGAAAGAAAATAAATAGAAAACTACCAGTGGTGTCCATCCAGCATGGTCTTTAACATTTGGATCGCTTCCATTCTGTAAGAGGTATTCCACAGAAGGTATGTCGCCCTAGTAGGACAATGAAAAAATAAAAAGAAATAAAAAATCATCAGTAGAAGAAGATATTGAGATTTTTGGGTTTTTCAATAAGATCCTATCCTCATCAAGGCAGAACAAAACAAATCTTCTCTCTTATGCCTGTTGCTCATGAATTAAGAAATAATAAGCTATGTAATGTATGAATGGTACTAAGGAACCTAGTCATGAAGTCCCTGAATATTCAGTACAAAATCTCTATTAGCTACCCATATCAAATTTATTTCAAATCACTAAACAAAGGACACAAGCCAAAGATCACCTGATCATGATAAAGTTTCTTAAAGTGATCATTTTACTTGTGAAAAACATCCTTTTTGAGCACACATAAAAATGGTTTGAGTATTGTCTAAAACAAAATTAAAGCTAAGAAAGCTGCTCAGAGAAACCAGTTACAACTGCCAAAAACTGTTGTCGGACAATTGGCAGTTATTCTATTTATACTTAATATACTAATTTAGTTTATATTCACCTTATTTGCTCAAAGAAGTTTCTCTAGTCAGAAGCAAGGTTTATTTTCTCCAAAAATAACTGACAGTGTTATGCTGAAAAAGGCTGAATAAATAAAAGTTATATATGGCTGAAGTTACATATGACAGACAATGTTGTTTTAATTGTTTTGTGAAGCGCTTCATTAGAGAGAAGGTAATCTCTCCCCTCCCATTCCCAGCCCCAATAGTCTTCTGAAATGGGACTTTTTTCCCTCTATTGGTTTAATAATGTAAATGTTACTAAGTCCACTAAAAATGGTAACATTTTCTTTTATTTGATTGTTTTGGACTACCTCTCAAATACATCAAATCTTAAGATCGTAGCTTACTTTGTTTTCTAAAGTGAATGATTGAATAAATAAGTAAATCTATATACAACATAATGTTCCTAAATGAACAAAAAGACCTAAGATATTTAATGGATCTAAAAAATAAGTATTACTAATATTTCAAAATTGGAACATTTCCCCATAGTTCCTTAGGGGTACAATTCTCTACCTCTAGTACAAGTTAACATGTATTTAACAAATTTTGCTCTTTATTCAAGCCAGTTCCAAATGAACTTTGGAACATCTGTCAAGATACAAATTTCAATTTCTTTAAACAATTCCATGAATACTGGGGCAGATGAAATGCCAGAATCACATGAATTCCTTTCAACATGAAAATATCCACAAAAAGTACACAAAGCATTAAACATGTCTCCATTCTAATTATACAAGGTAATCACAAAAACAGGTTAACCTAAAGAGGCTCCCAGAATTACATAAACACAATTGTGGAGTGGAAGAGTCACATGGGAGTCACACAGGAATAGAGACACATAGGTATAGAAGTGATCATTTAGAGACTAAAAAAGCAGAAGCTCTTGTAAGGTTGCTAGACAGTGTGATATTTTTGTTTCATGTCACCGCTTCTTATTATCAAAGATGTCTTCTGTTAACATTGCACTCCTAGACTTCCCCAAAATGTATGGCTGATTTGCAAACTGCTTGCTTTTTATACCCAAACTGCTTTCTCATCCCTAGAACCTAAAAGTTTGTCATATTTTCATCATTCTACTTATGTAAATTTAATGTCATGCACATAAATAAAATTATGATAATTAAATAGGGTCCACAGTTACTGGGTAAACCTGAAGCAATATGACGTTTCCTGGAAATAAATTAACTTCTGCTTCTGATTTCTTTAAATTACTTTCTTCTCAGAATATTTTCTGAGCAATAAGCACTGTTTTAGGCCCCTCACAACCTGGAAATAAATTAACTTCTGCTTCTGATTTCTTTAAATTACTTTCTTCTCAGAATATTTTCTGAGCAATAAGCACTGTTTTAGGCCCCTCACAACTAAAAAGAGTAACAGATTTTCTTAATCCACAGCAAGGAAAAAAAAAAAAATCATCTAAGAAAGTATTTACCAAGGCTTGTAAGAAACATCAATGGATTTGGCATTTTCAAAAAATATCTTAAAGGCTGAAAATAAGGGAGCATGTGTGTCTCACTGAATTTACTATTACTAACCTTTCATTCAAAGGAAAGATTCTTCACATATTTGTGCATGCTACAGCCATATAAATTAACTTTCCAAAAACACATACACACAAAGCTTTTTCCTTATTATAAAGGTTACCTCTTCTAAAGTACAATTAATAAGAATAAGCATCTTTATAGAAACAGTACAGGATATTATAATTAAGTACAACGACAGTTTACCCCAAGTGATTAAGCTTTTCCATGTAAATGAACTGACCAGTATCTAAAACTTCTTCTTTTAGCAAATAGATGTCATTGAGGAAAAAATTTAGTCATCTGGACTGCAGCTCTAAAATATATTAAACATTTCCTTGACTGCTTAGTCAGAGTTTAATGAATAAAGTGAATTCATAGATGATTTTGACGATCTAGTCATCATGACTCTAAGTTTCTGTTAGTACAAAGGTGGTGGGTGACAGAGGGAAAATGTATACTGACTCCAAAAGGTGTTCTAGAAATTAAAATCCTGAAAATATCATAGATGCCAGTTTGCTTTTGAGTCCTCTGCTACTTTTTCAGAAAGCGAAGTATGAAGGATCTGTAATAGTATGACTTTACACACAATATAACATGACTGCCTTAATGTATAATGAATTACAAAGTCGACCCTGAAAGAGACTCCTCATGGGATTTCTCTCTACCCAGGAGATGCTCATCACATTTGTTAAGTACATGCCTTGTGAGTTTTGCCTTCAAAATATTGTCTGTACCACAAATATATCACGGAATGCCAACTTCAAGTGATCCTTCTATTTCATAAAACATTTATGCTGTGGCATAAATTATGAGTAATCCTTACCACTTAAAGAACCTGTGCTAGAGAACTTTGGAAAGGTTTATTTTATCACCTACAAATTCTCAGGCCAAGGTGACATAAGAGAATAACAAAATTTTTCTGCATGTCTAGAGAATGTTAAATACTAAGTTTATCATTATTATTAAATCAGAAGAATAAACTGAAAAAATAAAAGAAAAATGTAAGTGTTTATCTTAGTTCCTATTTAGGCATAACCCTTTCTCATAAAATCTGGAATTTACATGATGGCCTCAGTAGCCTTTTGACTAGAGGCGACAAATATTTTCAAACAGAAACACGGTGAATAAAGAGAACCTAATGGATCCCAACTTTTGTTTTGGTTAAATGAGAATGTTCACAATCTCCCAGATACCATATTAATGAATATTCTGCTTGAAATTCCATAGGTGGTAATAATATAAAAATACAAGTGAAGAGCTCAAGAATAATCCTGTGTACAGCTTTCATTCAAATGGTGTTGAATGTCCAGATCCTTGGTTGGCCTAGGAGCCCATGATTCTGAGAGGAAAAAAGAAATCTGACAATTGAAAACACAAATAGTATCTGCTGATAATACAGTAGCTGTCTATGTTCAGGCAGCCTGAATATTTAGGCAGTCTGGGTATTTATTAAGAGTCTACTATTGCCAAATATGGAGGTTATCAAGATAAAGAAGGTAACAGATGCCTTAAATTAACCAAGAAGTTCCATTTCTAGGTTTTTTCCTAAAGATACACCAGCCCGTATATGAAAGTTAGATTGTTTACTGCAGCATTGTTTATAAAAGCAAAAGAATGGGAAACAAACAGGCATCCATCAGTAAGGGACTAGTCAAGTAATGAAAATCCATAGAAAGGGATGCTGCTATAAAAATATAGAGAAAGCTAGGTACTAATATGGAAACCATTTGCTTTTATCTACAGGAAGAAATTCACAAAGGATACATAACGAAGTCAGAAAGGTAGTTAGCCGAAGGGCTTGTCAGCAATGGGATGGCTGTGGGAGAAAGAGGAGTGAGGCTTTCCTCAATAAAATTCTTACTTTTTTAAAAACTGTTTTGTTTTTTCTTTTCTTTTTAATTTTTCTACTCTTATTTTTGAAATGTGAAGTTATTACTCATATTTTGAAATGAAATTTTCAATGAGGAATGTACTCCAGAAAACCACACAATCTGGCTGAGGAGTCAGGTAACAAACAGAAAGCTAAATGCATATGAATGCCAAGACTGTCACCATAGAGAAGACACCAACTCCGGGAATTGTGAAAAATACTTAAGAAGGTAGGATGGGAACTGGATTTTGAAGTTTAGGTACAAAGGACCAGAAGGGAAAAGGGGAAGAATGCAGAGAAAAAGGCAGAGAAAAAGAACACGTGCCAAGTATTGGCTGCACTAAAAAGTGTACCTGAGTAATTCATAAGGCTGGAGTTCGGTGTGACAAAAGAATGGGGTTCAGACCATAACTAATTGGAAAAATCTCATTTATTCAACAAAGACCAATCTGTTATATGCCAGGCAATGTTCTAGATACTGAAGATAACAAAAGTCTTGCTCTCTTCTAAAGAGAGAGATAAGAAACAAAGAGATAATATTGTCTAGAAATACTAACAGGGAAAAAAATGGAAAAAGCTAAGGGTACGGCAAAGCCTGCTACTGCAGTAAGTCAGGAAGAGTCTCGGAAGAGGGGCATTCGGGTAGAAGCCTGAAGAGGGGGGTCACATCAGGCCTGCAGGCCATGAGAAGGTCATGTGGATTTTTTTTGAAGCGGGCCAGGGAGTTACTGATATGACAAATTCTGACTTAGGTCAGATCACTCTGGCTGTCATACAGATGTGAACAGAGGAAATACAAAGAAAAGGCAGAGCAAGAAATTAGGAAGCTGCTTCAGTGGTGTGGTAGGAATACAACTCCCAAAAATGTCTGTGTCCTAAACCCCAGAATCTGTGAATGTTACTTTACGTGACAAAAGGGACTTTGCAATGCGATTAAGGGGGCTTAGATGGTCTCAATCTAATCACCTGAGTCTTTAAGAGCAGCAGTAAGCCCTCCAGGGCTAGGTCAGAAAGATGGGATGAAGGATTCCACCTGTGGTTGCTGGCTTTTAAGACAGAGATGCCTTCAGCTGAAAGCTGATAAGAAACAGCATCTCAGTCCTACAACTACAAGGAGCTATGCAGTTTCTTCCAACGACCCAAATAAAAAGTTCTCCCTTAGAGCCTCCTGACGGTAACACCGCTGACACACTGACTAGTCTGCTGGAACCCAAACTAGCCTTCTGACCCACAGAAGTATAAGAAAATTAATTTACATTGTTTTAGGACACTAAATTTGTGGCTACTAAGTTACTGATTTATTATGACAGCAACTGGCAACTAACACAAGTGGTCAGGGCAAGCAAAGACAAGGAAGGAGCCTCCACTAGGGTGGTAACTATGCACAGAAAGGTTATGACTAACAAAGATGCCCACAGGTAGGTTTGGGGCAAGATGTTAAAGAATTTCATTACTAATGTTATCAAGTCCAGACGTCATTCTGTAATGCCGTAACCACAGCAGGGAAGCTAACTAGCCCCAGAGAACAGTCAAACTCCTATGGGGTTCTCCGCTCTCAGCACGTAGCCCAGCATGCACACTGCAACCGTGCACTCTTCCATCCAAAGGGAACATGGGCGCGGGAAACTGCACACCTACCAAAACACTTACGGGAAAAACAACTACAACAACAAAAATCTAACTCAGACAACAAAAAAACCTACTTTCCTTATCTGGTTTGGCTGCCTGAAAAGGTATAGAATCTACACTCATTATTCAGCTGCAGTCGCTCTTTCCGCTTTCCCTGCTCCTCGTTCCACTTTTAGTAGTTTTAACTTTAGGGCCATCTTAAATCCTTTTCTGAAGTAGGTAGGTACAAAACATAAGTTAAGACGGCAGAATTGAAGTATTTGGTTTTCTCATACACACAGGTTATTCATTCCAGCTGCAAGTTAAAAAATCAGGGTAGAAAACGAAATGAATACTATTTACAAAAAGACAAACATACTGACAATTCCACTGATTTTTTTTCCCCAAATATTTGTTCTATTACAATCAAACTGGGTGGGGGGTATACATTCAACTCAATCAATTTTTAAAAGAGAACACTATTCTTAAATAGTGATTTTAAACACAATAGCAATCACTTAGCTCTTCTTAAATGTACTGTATCAGAATCTGCCAACAGATAACAATGATAGTATTTGATAAGTTCAAGAGAATCAAAATGAATACTCTAAGACACTTTGCAGGTAAACTGACAACTAACAAAATTTGTATAAAGCAATCTTCAATGGAGAAAATTCGCAAGACAGCATTATGCCACCATTTTGTTTCCTCTTAAAATACTACTGTGGCTGTTTTCCTTGCCCTTAGCCAAGAGTAGGCGAACTGCAGCCTATGGGCCAGACACCTGTATGCAAAGTTTTATTGGTGTATATATTCTCTATGGCTGCTTTTGCACTAGACAGCAGAGTTAAATAGTTGTAGAAAACAAATGACCTACAAAGCTGAAAATATTTAATTGCCCCTTTAAGAGTTTGCCAAACCATGGCCTAGACTCTAGGTCCTAGATACCCTCACAATAAAGATAAATTATTCTTAAAATTCTCTACCAATGTAAGCAGATGCTTGCCTTGTGATCTGAAAATAATTCTCAGAAAGCAAAATGTAGAAACTTAAGCAGCCTACATTCTTATGTGTAAGTTCTTATGCATGCAGTCAGAAAAATGAACAAAAAATAATTACTTGTGTCTATGAAGCATAATTAACACTGTTAGTGTAACAGCTTATGTGCATATATATTATGCATATATACATACATACATAAAATACAAAGAGGACAAAAAATATACTTTGATTTTTTAAGTTGTTTTGCAAAAATCAAACTAAAATGTAACCAGAGCACTCTAGAAAATTCAAATTGTTCAAAAGATACGTAATACCTAGCATGTAGTCACGTTCCAGCTTCTCCCCTCACTGGCATCAGAGAGTATTCTATATTCATCATTTACTGGAAGATAAAGTTAAGGAATAAAATAAAACACTAACTGTTGGGAAACTCATTTTTGTACTTTTCCCTTTCTCCACACAAAAATATAGGAATCTCTGGACTCAATGTCTACACCACGCTCTTCCCAGATGTTTTATGTTGCTCGCCAGCCTTATGTTTGCAAGCCTCCAAAGGGTTCCTTCCAGACCTCCCAGAGTTCTCTATCCATACAAAGGAACCAAGGATTTTCCAGTGAATTTTACAGAAAGATCATAAAAGCCATCCTAATTTGGCACTAAGCCCTCTCTCTGATGTTGTATCTTCCTAACACATGTATGAAATCACAGATCAAAGTCTGTGAGTTCCAAATCATAGGAGAGTTTCCAAAAAACAAACACTGTCATACCCCAGGCGTTGAGGAAATAAAGAGAATCAGCTTCAATGAACAGGCTAGTAAAAGGAATGGCTGGCTGTGGGGCACAGAGAAGCTCCTTTGTGGTGAACTAGAAGGGCCACCTGTCCATCAAATTTCCAGGTCATTGGAAAAATGTACATACCACATATTTCAACCTTTCTAATTCTAGCAGTGTCCACTAGGAGTATCAAACATAGCTTGTTTCCTCTCACATTGTCCCTGGCTTTTTTGCTAGGTGAAGCATGTTGCCAGCAGTAACTTGATAACTGTCTGTGTTCAAAAAGCATGATAAGAATAGGTAAACAAAACAGCAAAATCTGGACAAAACCATTATGGAAGCACTTGGCAAAGTAGAGGCTGAAATATTGAACTACTGGTTTTCTCCTTTAAGATCATGCCCCTCAGGCCCAGGGGTCACTGCTCTGAGGTGAGAATGTAGGACCCATGAATTTTGCTTCTCTGGTTCAAAGGAAGTATCATATCTGGTGGGTTAATTATCCTAGTAGTCTCATGCCATTGTTCACAAACCCCAAAGAAAATGTTTTATAGTCTCATCCAAAACCATAGTTCAGAATAAGCACCCTACCTTAATGGAAGCAATATGCAGCAGAGTCTCTCCTCTATGATTTCTTTTCACACCCCTAAGGCTACTGGGCAAAAGCTTCATTGCTGAAGGACTAGACATCATTCGTCTGTAACTTGGACTATTCAGTGTAGAAGGTGGTATACCTGGTGAAAGGCTAATGGATTCATCTGATATATTACTGTTTCTCCTCCTTAATGTGTCACCAACTTTAAGTTTGCTTGAAAGTGATGAAGAACAGCCAGGCAGTGCTATGTTTTCTGAGAGCACTGTTTGCTTAACAAAATTTCCACTGGTGCTGGGAGAGACGCTTCTACGTCTCTTAGAAGTGGGACTGGAAAGTCTGATGCGACGTCCACATTTTCCATGACCTAGTGGCAAGGATTTCTTAGATGTAAGATCATTTTCACAGATATTCTTCTTAGGAGTCACTACTTCATTCCTGCTTTCAATCTCTGGAGACTGTATTTGCTCGGCCAATGGTAAAGAAACTTCAGTTAAGTGTCCAAAACATTCAGATTCTGTTACAGAGCCACTTGCTAGTAAGTCGATTTCACCATTTATCTGAGAAGTAGCAATAACAGATGGTTGGCTACAGAAAGATACTAACTTTTCCTTAAATTCCTCTTTGGAGTCAAGTTCACCATCTTTTCTTTCTGTCTCTACATTCCATTTCTGGTTAATTTCAGCTAAGGTTTTCTTTTTTTGCTTTTTTCTAGATCTGGTAGTAGACTTTTTAGCCCTCTCAGAAACATCTGCTGAAGGACTTGTAGAAATAAATTCATAGACTGAGGCCTGCTGAGCATTTTCATCATTTGTCATTTGAGGCTGGGTTTTCACTGTGACTTTACTTACAACATATCTGATCTTCTTACTTCGAGGACTAAACCACATTTTTATTGAATTCTTCTTATCTGCATCACTAAATAAACTTTTCCTAGTTGTATCTTCTTTCAAATCTGATAGAAAAAAGGAAAATAAATCTGTTATATGAACTTAATCTCTCCCATCTTTCAGGTCTCAAAGAATTTTGTTTATAGTTCCCCTAAGGTGTACCACCTTTTTATCTGTGTACCTCATGCTCCCCTCCTCGACTACATGAACTCTCTGAGTGCAGATACTCACTCAACAAATATTTACAGAATCCTACTTTATTCTAGACCACATTTTATGGACTAGAGATACAGCAGAAAACAAAACCTGGAATTTACATATTCCACCATGGGTAGACAGAATATAAAAATAAGTAAAGCATACAGTATGCTGGTGGTGGAAGAGCCATGGAGAAAAGATATACTAAATACACAGGCAGAATCATAGGCAGGCAGATACAGAATTTAATAGGCAGTTGACTGATGCTTAATTTTAAAAAGACTTCTGAAAACCAATCACAACAATTCACTATATTAACAAACAAAAGAGAAAACAATGTGATTTTCTCAACAGAAATGGAAAAAAAAATTGACAAAATCCAACATCCATTCATTATTTTAAAGATTAAGCAAATTAGGAATAGAAGGGAACTTCTTCAACGTGATGAAGGGCATCTATAAAAATTTATCCAGCCAGTGTCATGCTTCCTGGTGAAAGACTGGAGCTACTATATTATTTCTATTATCAAATACAAGGCAACGATGTCTGCTCTCACCATTCTTATTCAATATTCAACATCATACTGAAAGTCCTAGACAGCATACCAAGGTAAGAAAAAGATACAAAGGCACACAGATTGTAAGGGAAGATATTAAACCATTATCTATTCACAATTGACTTAACTGATTATATAGAATATCCCAAAGACACTTTTTAAAAAATTAATAAAAGAGGTGACTTTAGCAAGGTCCTAGAATATAAGACTGACATATGAAGTTCAGCTTCACCTATATTTCTACATACTAATAATGAACAAATGTAAAGTGAAATTCTTTTAAAATTTGGTACCATTTATAATAGTACCCACCCAAAATAAAATACTTAATCACATATCTAACAAAATGTGTACAAGTTCTGTTTGCTGAAAATTATAAAACATTTATGAAAGAAATCATGGAAAGGCATACCATATTCATGAACTGGAAGACTTGATATTCTTAAATTGTCCATATTCTCCCCAATAGATCTACACACTGTAACATAATCCCAGTGAAAACTCCAGGAGGCTTTTTTGTTAAAAATAGACAAGCTAATACTAAAACGTACATGGAAAGAGAAGGAACTACAATATGAAAAAGCAAAAGACCTAGAATGGCCAACATGGTACTGAAGAACAAAGCTGAGGATTCACACTACCTGATTTCAACTTTACTTCAAGTAAAATGAATCTAGGTTAATTAAATAGTTACAACTCTGTGAGTACCATCTAATACAACCTCAAACTATGTAAACCAAAAGCTCATGAGAATAAATGAACTTTAACTATACACTCAAATATACGCCTGAGCAAAAGAAGCCAAACACAAAAGAGTACATAAAAATAGCTAAAACTAATCTAATATATAAGTTCAGAACAGTGATTATCCCTATGGAGAAAGGAGGCAGTGACTGGAAAGGGGCTACAAGAGGGGTTTCCAGAGTACTGTTTCTTCTTCTGGGTGAGTTCAGTTTATAAAAATTCACTAAGCTATACACTTATTATGATATGTACATTATACTTCTAAAGGAAGTTTTTCAAAAAATATGTATTTATAATCAAGAATTAAAACACAAAGATTCAGAAGGGTTTAAAAAACAAAAGAATCACTGTCCCTAAGTAGACAAGGTGCCCCATTTTATGAGTGAGTACTCTTTTGTACAAACAACGTGCTCCCTTAGCTAAGGTCATCAGGGAAGGCCTTTCTGAGGAGCTCATCTTTGAGTTGAGAGCTAAATGACAAAGGGAAGCAGCCATGTAAATATCTCAGAAAGTGGTTCCCAAGTAGAAGAGAAAGCGTAAAGGTCCCAAATGGGAACGAGTTTGGCATATTCAAGGGATAGAATGCCAGTGTGTTGGGAGCTTGGCGAAGGAGCCGAGTATGGAGGGCAGTGAAGTCGGACAGGTAAGCAGGGGCATTCTGTACAGAGCTCAGTCTAAGGATCTGTTGATAATACTCCTCATTCCACCAACCTCTTAAGCAGAAGGGCTTGGGAGTTCTATCTGCAGTCACTCCCCTGGCAATTATATATATAATATACGTATTTATCCAATATCCAACTGCTTCCTTAGCAATTCTTACCTCCCCTGTCTACTCCAAACGAGTGTCTCACAATGAACATGACTAAAACTGAGCTCCTGATCCACATCCTCCCAAACCTGCTCCTCCTACAGTTTTTCCCATCTCAGTAAATGGCACATTCATCAGTCCAGATGCTTAAGACAAACACTTGAGTCAAACTTGCCTCTGCTCTCTCTCTCATAGCCCATATGGAAAATACACCCCGAATCAGTCTACTTCTTCGTACCTCTACTCCTGCCACCAGGGTGTAAGACACTAACATCTCTCACTAGATTATCACAGCAATCTCCTAAATGTCTTCCTGACTACAATCCTTTGCTCCTTCTCCATAAGCCTATACTCAATACAGCAACCAGGAATCCTTTTAAAATTAGTCGGATTATGTCACTAAAAACCTTCCAGACTTCTAATATGACTCCAGACAAAAACCACATTCATAGCAGTTGTCTGCAAGCCAGAAACAACCTTCCTGTTCTCATCTCCTGAACTCCCTCACCCACCATCCCAGCCACCGGACCTCCTTATTCCTCCCATACACCGAGCTGACTCTGCCTCAGAGACTTCACATTCGCTCATCCTTTGCCTGGAGAACTTTTCCCCAAATGCCTGCATGGCTCACACTCTCACCAACTTTAGGTTCCTGCTCAAATGTCACCTTTTTGCAACTCCATTCCTGACACTCCATTTAAAACTTACAAACCTAACACATAGTCTACAGGCACACACCTGATCATCTACATTTGCTCTCTTACAACACTAAACTATGTTTTCTACCTTTATCTTGCATCTACCTACCACTTCAGCATTTTATTAAAAATAATAATAATAGAGAAATGTGGTATCCACATATAAATCAAGTATAAAAATCAAACAAATATTCATATTTGAACTGATTGTTTATAGTTCATAATACATGATCAAAATCGAAAGTTTCTGTGATGACTGCCCTTGTACTGTTCACCATGTAACTTATTCACAATTAAGAATTTGTTCTCCATGTAAGAACTTGTTCGTTATGCTTCAGAAATTGGAGACTGACGAAAACTAGGCTTGGGGTGGATTAATGGTTGTGCATTGAGCATTGACTCCCCTATACAGAATTTTATTGTTGTTAACAACAATTTGATCAATAAATATGAGAGATGCCCTCTCAAAAAAAAAAAAAACTTACAAACCATCATCTCCTACTTGTTTTTTACTTATTTTTTTTCTCGTCTGTCTCTTCCCATCAAGATAAAAGCTCTATGAAGACAGTTTTATGTCTCTACCCTGCCATATCCCCAGTGCTTACTAAGTGGCCAGCACATAGTAGAGGCTCAATTAATATTTGCTGAATGAATGGGTTCTTATAGTTCAGGTAAAGCAAGCTAGATCTCACACAGACTCAATTCAGGAAATGGAAATGTTTTATGCTTTAGAATGATCATTCTGGCTGCAATGTGGAAATGGAAGTGGAACTTTTAGATTCTAAAGAAAAGAGGGGACATAGTGACCAACTGTGTAACTATCATCAAAGAGAAAGATCATAGTGGCTTTAACAAGCATTGTAGCAGTAGAAATGGTAAAAAGTACTAGACACAAAATCTATAGGACTACAAATTAACTAAACCAAGAGGCAGGGGAGAGACTGAAATGTTTCGAGGCCCACTAGTAGGAGGGCATATCATGTATTTAAGGAACTAAAAGACAGCCAGTATACCACCTTGCAGAGACCAAGAAGGAAAGTGGTGTAAAGGTGAGACTATAAAAATAGGCACTAGCCAAACTATGCGAATTCTTGCTGAGAATGTTAAAGACTTTAATGTCTATGCTAAGAACAATGGAAAACCAATAACATGTTTTATTATATAAGGTAAGTGGCATGACTACATCTGTTTTTAGATTACTCTAGACTAGAATATGGGAGAAAAGATTGGAAAAAGGCAAGAGTGGATGCAAGAATAATGTTAAGAAGGCAAAATAGGTGTATAAGTACAAGATAAAAGACTGGGGAGGTGGTAGCAGAAAAAGAAAGAAGCAGAATTATTTGAAAAATATTTGGAGATAAAATTTATAGGTTTTGGTGATGAGATGAATATAAGAAGGAGGTAATGAAACTGATTCACATCTTTTTGGCTTAAATCACTGAATGCACCTAGAAGAGAACAGTGATGTAAGAGACAATCTGCCAGGCATCCTCAGCATCCCTGACATTCTTGAAGGGTATACCAAGAAGGCAAAACCCTGGCTGCTCTTCACCCAGGCCATTGCTCAGGACTGTGTTTACAAGGAACTCTGAGGGATGCGGCAGTGTCTCTCCATCGAAAAAAAAAAAGGCCTATTTCTACTTACTACAAAAAGTCAATTCTCCAAGCTCAGAGTTTGTTTCCTATATCACAACCCACTGTGTGTGCAGGAATCCATGATGGGTCCTTTGCCAATTACAATCAAAGACACAAAACAGTTAAATAAAACTTAGCAAATGCAATCCAGGAATTTCAAAGGGGATAAAAAATGTCTGCAAATTTTAAATGAAATACCTTTTTCACAAAGCAATTTACCTCTACTAATTTATCTTAAAAATATAGTTGACCCCTGAACAACAATGGGTTTAAACATTGCGGGTCCTCTTACAGGCAGGCTTTTTTCCATAACCATACTGGAAAATTTTCTGGAGATCTCCGACAATTTGAAGAAAACTTGTCAACTGTGTAGCCTAGAAATACTGAAAAAAATTAAGAAGTTATATATGTCAAGAATGCAAGAAC